TATATCTCTTCTTTCAAATGGCATGAAAACCCAAGATCCTTATCCCATTGGTGATCATAGAATCATAGAACTGGAAGAGACCTCAAGAGGTTATCAAATCCAGCCCCCTGCACTCATCGCAGGAGCAAGCACCATCTAGGATATCCCTGGCAGGTGTTTGTAAAACCTGCTCTTAAAAGTCTCCAATTATGGAGATTCTGTAACTTCCCTAGGCAATTTACATTCATGACAAATCCATGTTGACTATTTCTTATTTAATTGCCTTCTAGATATTTGTAAATTTATTCTTTAATTATTTGCTCCATTACCTTTCCTGGTACAGAAGTTAAGCTCAGTGCTCTGTAATTCCCTGGCTTGTCCTTATTTCCTTTTTTATAGATGGGCATGATATTTGCCCTTTTCCAGTCTTCTGCAATCTCTCGTTTTCCATGACATTTCAAAGATAATAGCTAGTAGCTCAGATAGCACCTTCAGTAATCTTTACCTTGTTTTTTAAGGCCAATGTGCAGTGGTGCCAGTAACCAGGTGGCATTTTCCTAATTTAAATTCTGAACCATCCTCATTTCACCAACATTCACTATATTAGGCATCCAATCACCAACAGTATTCTTGGCAAAATTCAAAACAAAGGTGTTATTAAGCATCTCTGCCATTTCTGCATTTTTTGTTACTGTTTTTCCTTCTTCATTGAGTAACGGGCCTACCTTAGCCCAGGTCTTCCTCTTGCTTCTTATGTATTTGTAGAATGTTTTTTGATACCCTTTATGTCTCTAGCTAGTTTGATCTCGTTTTTGTGCCTTCGCCTGTCTTATTTTGCTCCTACATACTTATGTTATTTGTTTATAATCAGCCTTTTTTAATTTGACCCACTTTCACTTTTTGTAGGACTCTTTTTTTTATCTTTAGATCATTGAGGATCTCCTGGTGAAGCCAGGGTGGTCTCTTCCTAGCTTTCCTGTGCAGTGGAATTGTTTGCTCTTCTACCCTGAATAATGTCTCCTTGAAAAACTGCCAAATGTCTTCCATTTTTTCTTTTAAACTAGCTTCACATGAGTTTGCTAAAGTCTGCTTTCTTGAAATCTATTTGTTGTTGTTCCTCCTCCTACCATTCCATAGAATCATGAACTCTATCATTTCACGATCACTTTCACCCAAGCTGGATGAAATTCCATTTTCAAATTCTCAGCGAGTTCTTCCCTATTTGTCAAAATCAGATCTAGAACAGCTTTTTCCCGAGTAGCTTTCTCCACCTTCTGAAATAAAAACATTGTCTCCAATACAGTCCAAGAACGTGTTGGATAATCTGTGCCCTGATGTGTTATTTTCCCAACAGATGTTTGGGTAGTTGAAATCTCCCAACACCATCTAGTCCTGTGCTTTGGATGATTTTTGTTAATTGTTTAAAAAAGCCTCATCCACCTCTTTTTCCTGGTTTGGTGGTCTGTAGTAAACCCCTATCATGACATTACCCTTCGTTTTTCCTCCCACCACCCTCTTTTTATCTTTACCCAGAGACTTTCAACAAGTCTGTCTCCTATTTCCCTCTCCACCTCAGTCCAAGGCTGTGTCTACATTGGCACCCCTTTCCGGAAAAGGGATGCTAATGTAGACTTCGGAATTGCAAATTCCACGGGGGATTTAAATATCCCCCGCGGCATTTGCATTTACATGGCTGCCGCTTTTTTCTGGCTTGGGGATAAGCCGGAGAAAAGCGCCAGTCTAGACATGATTCTCCGGAAAATAAGCCCTTTTCCGGAGGATCTCTTATTCCTACTTGAAAGGAATAGGGTTAGGGTTAGGGTGAAAGTAGGAATAAGAGATCCTCCAGAAAAGGGCTTATTTTCCGGAGAATCACGTCTAGACTGGCGCTTTTCTCCGGCTTATCCCCAAGCCGGGAAAAAGCGGCAGCCATGTAAATGCAAATGCCGTGGGGGATATTTAAATCCCCCGCGGAATTTGCAATTGCGACCCGTCTCATTAGCATCCCTTTTCCGGAAAGGGATGCCAATGTAGATGTAGCCCAAGTGTATACATCTACTATATATTTGAAGAGTTTGTTTGTGCATTTAGTTGTGCAAAATAAAGTTTTGCATAAACAATCTGCCACTTGAATTAAGTGAATGCACTATTTTTTACACCAGACTACGCTGGGAGGCAGGTTTAAATAATTATTTTTGTTTTTATTGGAAAACAGTCATGACTATTATGATTAGAGTTCATAAAAATATTTGCTAACAAGATTAAAATCGAGTTGCCCATTCAACTGTCATTTTAGTGCAAAGAAAATTTTTACTATTACAAATAACAAAATAATTCAAATTAATTATGGAAAGAGTAATGGAAGCTTTATGAGTTTCTGATTCAAATTTACTATGTACAGCAATTATTCAATAAAATGAATAATGTTTGAAGTTTAAATCCTGTAAATTTAAAAGAGTTCTTTTACTTCCCTTTTGCAAGCACATTCATAAACAATTCTATTACATAGATTTAATTTCTTGAACTTTTCTGTAAGTGTAATCTGTACAAAATGACTTTGCCTGGTCAACAACGGGCCTCACCTGCTAGTTATTAATATATAAGGCAATGCCTCCTCCCTTTTTCCTGGCCTGTCCTTCCTGAGTAACCTATACCTTTCGATACCAATATTCTAGTCAACTGTATTATCTCTGCAAACTTCTGTGATACTATGTCATAGTTGTGTTCAGGGCTCGCCAAGCGGCAGCGAGCCCCGCTTGCCAGCCACGCGGAAGTGCATGCTGCGCATGTGCTGACCGCGCTGCATGGCCCTGCCAGGCTAAAATCTACTCGCCATGAGCGAGTAGATAGCCTAATTTGTCGAGCCCTGGTTCTGTTTATTTACTAGCATTTCATGTTCTTCCTGTTTATTCCCCGTACTTCTCACATTAGTATACAGACATCCAAGATTCTGATTTGATTCCTCCCCTCCTTGCAAGTTCTGTCATGTCTCTCCTTTATCCCTGCTGTTACAGCCTACGCTATCCCCAAATTCTGACTCTTCTCCTTCCTTTATCCCTGCTGTTACAGCCTACGTTATCCCCAAATTCTGACTCTTCTCCCAGGTCTCCATGTTTTGACTTATCTCTGGGCTTTGGTCATCTGCCCCTTTTGAACCTAGTTTAAAGCCCTACTCACTTTCGTCAGTGTGTATCCAAATATGCTCTTCTCCTTGCTTGATAAGTGGACCCCATCTCTGGTTAGCAGTCCTTTTTCCTGGAACAGCATCCCATGGTCAAGGATGACAAAGCCCTCCCAGGGACACCATATATGCATCCTGGCTTTCATGTTCAGGTTGCGTCTGTCTTTGCTTGGGATCCTGCCCTAGACAGACTAAAGAGAACACTACCTGATCTCCAAGCACTTTCACCCATGCTCTCAGAGCTCTGTAGCCACTTCTGATCTGATGAGGGTGACACCCAGCAGTATCATTAGTGCCCACAACAATGAGTAACATGGGGCAATAGTCAGAAGGCCAGTTTGTCCTTGGCAGTCCCTCCATAATGTTTCAGATACAGGCCTCTGGCAGACCCAGGATGCCATGTCAGGGCAACAGATGGATGCACCCCTCAGAAGAGAGTCTCCAACCAATGCTACCCCACGTTTCCTCCTGGGTTTGATGGCTACAGACCTCCATGCCTTGGAGATACATGGCTTTTCCTCCTCCATATTAGGGGTTAATTCTTCATCTCTCACTTCCAGGGTATCATAACTACTCTCAATTACCATGGTGGGTGGATTGGGAGTAGAGGTAGAGCACTGCCTGCTGCCAGAAGTAACTAGCAACCAGCGCCCTCCTGTGACAGAGCCATCTCCTACTCCTCCACCCCCCCGGTGGTGTGGCAGCTGTCCCCTGTTGCTGCATAGCTTCTTCAGCTCTGGATGTCTCCACATGAATACTCTCAAGGAATTCCTCATGGGTAAGGATGCTCCTCAGCCTATCCATCTCCTCCTTTAACTCTTCAACCTTCTGCCTGAGACATTCTACCAGCAGGCACCTTTCATACTGGATGGTCCCTCTTCCCTCAGCCTGGCTTTCTGTATGTGGGAAATGAAGGCCACAGTCTCTGCAAATCCACTCCAGGATCTGGGTAGAGGTATCCCATGTCAGGTGGCCTGTTAGTCTACAGGCGCAGTAGGCAGAAGGAACCCTGGCACAGGTGACGTGGCCCTTCCCAAACATAGTGATTATCAAGTCTCGACAAATTATAGAAAACCCTACTCACCAGACAAAAAAGGGACTCGCCACCCCCACTGCGTGACCCCCACCGTACAGGTGCAAAATGAAGCCGCGATTATTTTAATCGCGGCTTCATTTCCCTCTGCCGATCTGGCTAATCTACATGCCTCCGTCGAAGGAGGCATGTAGTCTAGACACACCCCTGGAGAACAGGACGACCAGGACAGCATGTTTGCTTCTGTGACAGAGCAGGGCCACTCCGCAGTGGCGAGGGCGACCCACCCCTCACTTCAACGGTGCCGACCCCCGTGCTGCATGGGGAGCGCGGCGTTCTGACAGAGGTCTGCGCTGCTTGCTCTCATGCGGCCACCCAGCTGAGCGGCGTGCAGGGGGGCTGAGTCCTGGGATTCTTTTGACTTATTCACATGATTATGGTCTTCCAAAACTGCATTCTTCCTATCTAAGACTGGCAATATAATCTTTGGTTGGATCTGCTGTCATTCTTTTCCTGTCCTGAAAGGTGTTGTGTGGCTTTGTCCATCAATTGTTGCCATATTTCATCCCAAAGAGAGATGATGTCACTTGTGAACAGTTTGTATATCAGTCTGCTAGGTTAATGCTCCTTTTGAAGGAAAGATATTATATAACTGTGAAAGGTTCTTCTAGGAGTTACATTGTGTATACATTAGGGTCAGAATGTAACCAAGAGGAGTTTGAAGGATGTGATTATTTGCAAGACATTTTTATGGAGAACTAAGAAATGAACGGAGTCATCCAATGACACTATAATGCATTTCCAATATTGAGCAGAGAAAAATTTATTTACAGAGATTTTCAAATACAAACATAATAGCACATTTATATATATATTTTTTGTTTACAAAAATGGATATTGAAATAATAAACATGATACAGCACAATACAACAACATGAGCTAAACGTAACAACGACAAATTCTATATCTGGAAGACGTTTCCCATTAATCTTACGTAACCAACAATATCCTACAGTACCATGAGAGGAATTCCCCAGGGTCTGAAAGATATCTGTTTACTGTCCTTCATAATAGTACCATAGGCAAAGCCCCTACATATGCTGAGTAAAAAAATTGCATTTTCGTAATAAAGGTGAAAACACGGAAGCTACATAAAAGTTCTATAGGACTGAATAAGTAGTGAATAAATGTTTTGTGGAAGAGTATAGAGAATATACAAAATACTGTTAAAGTGGCTTATTGGTCCATTTATTAGGTTTCATATATAGTTTAAAAAGTGGTATAACATTGGATTCAAAACCATCAAATGAATAAAAAAAGAAAGAAAAATGCACCAATAAGTTTGCATTTCATTTGTTCTGTGCCATGGTCTGCATGTGTGTGTGTGTGTGTGTGTGTGTATGCACACACACTTTCAGGAGTGTTGTGCTGAAGTGGAACTTTGGAAGATTGCATCCTACCCCAAATATTTTTTTCACCAGTCTTTCAATTCATTTGCGCACCCAGACCTTTACAATTTATCAAAAAGGAACATTCCTTGTTCATAAAATTATATTCTTCCAGAACAGACCTGAAATATACTTTGTCAAGAAAGAACTTGGCAAACAAGAGCATTTGGTCCATACCTCCAGACTCCCATCCCATCCCATCCCACAATGTCACCTCACATCCTGACCTAGACCATGTCCACTCTCGTTTCAGACTGAGGGTTCTGCAGTTAGGAACTAAAGCACTTTTTTCAGAAGAAGAAATCTGCAAGTCACTTCGGCCTCTCGAAGCTCACTCATTCTCTAGACTGGACTCTCAGGCTGCCAGCCTCAGTAAGGGTACTGTTTCTGTTTCTTGCCAGAGAAACAGGCCAACCAAGTGCAGATTAACATAGCAGCAGCTGCTCCTCCTCCGGTGCAGTAGTAAGCCCAGCCAATTTCACAAGTACCTAGGAACAAACAAACCAAGGGAACAATATTTTACTCAAGAAGGGAGATTTGCTTTCACCATAATGTTACTCGCTCTTTCCTTTTGGAGCAGTAAAAGGGAAATGAAAGAAGAAGTAACCAAATATGGCAGAAGGTGCCATGTATATTAGCCCCTGTATCAGCTTTTTGGTTTAATTCTCTTTTAAGCAATTTATATTTATGCACCTTCATCCAAAGCCTTCCCATTGTGGTAGAAGCCAGCCAGCCAGCCAGATATCAGTGCTATCTAATCTATCTAAGTGCTCATGATTTTGGTGTCTGAGTATACAGGAATCTTCTTGCTTTTTTATTAAATACTAGAAGATTTACCTGGCATTGTTCAGGCCCTTAATTCAATTCATTTTTGTTTTGGAAAATAAAATGAATGGCCTGCAGCCTGTCCACGGAGGGGGAGACGGTGGGTGAAGAAGGCAGAGATCCAGGGGCTGGCCCCAGCCTGCAGTGGCCCCTCCCGCGGCCTGTAACCTGTCTGCTGGGGGGTAGGCAGGACTCTGGGGCCAGCCCCAGACTCCATAGGCCCTCCCATGACCTGCAGTCTGTCTGGGGCTGGGCAGGCTGTGGGTGCCTGCCCCATCCCCAGCAGCCCTCGCTGCAGCCTTCAGGCTGTCTGCAGAGGGTAGGGCAGGGCTCTGGGGGCTAGCCCTGGCCTCTAGCAGCTTCCCTGCTGCCTGCAGGCTCCAGGGAGTCCAGCCTTCTGTAGCCTTACCCCATGGCCTGCAGCCTGTCTGGGGGGACCAGGCTCTGGGGGTGGGCCCCAGTCTCCAGCAGCCCCTTCCACTCCATGGCTGTTCCATGAACACTCCCACTGTTCAATATCTTCATCAATGATGTAGATATTGGGATAGAGAGTACGCTTATTAAGTTTGCAGATGATACCAAACTGGGTGGGATTGCGACTTCTTTGGAGGATAGGGACATAATTCAAAATGACCTTAGCAAGTTAGAGAAATGGTCAGAGGTAAACAGGATGAGGTTTAATAAAGAGAAATGCAAAGTGCTCCACTTAGGAAGGAACAATCAGTTCCATACATACAAGATGGGAAGCGACTGTCTAGGAAGGAGCATGGCAGAAAGGGATCTAGGGGTCATAGTGGACCACAAGGTGAATATGAGTCAACAGTGTGATGCTGTTGCAAAAAAAAAGCAAATATGATTCTAGGTTGTATCAACAGGTGTGTGGTAAGCAAAACTCGTGAAGTCATTCTGCCGCTCTACTCTGCACTAGTTAGGCCTCAGCTGGAGTACTGTGTCCAGTTCTGGGCACCACATTTCAAGAAAGATGTGGAGAAATTGGAAAGGGGACAGAGAAGAGCGACAAGAATGATTAAAGGTCTAGAGAACATGACCTATGAAGCCAGGCTTCATGAACTGGGCTTGTTTAGTTTGGAAAAAAGAAGATTAAGGGGGGACATGATAGCGGTTTTCAAATATCTAAAAGGGTGTCACAAGGAGGAAGGAGAAAATTTGTTCCTCTTGGTTTCTGAGGACAGGACAAGGAGTAATGGGCTTAAAGTGCAGCAGGGGAGGTTTAGATTGGACATTAGGAAAAAATTCCTAACTGTCAGGGTGGTCAAATATTGGAATAAATTGCCAAGGGAGGTGGTGGAATCTCCCTCTCTGGAGATATTTAAGAACAGGTTAGATAGACATCTGTCAGGGATGGTGTAGACGGAGCTTGATCCTGCCTTGAGGGCGGGGGGCTGGACTCGATGACCTTTCAGGGGAGGTTTAGATTGGACATTAGGAAAAAATTCCTAACTGTCAGGGTGGTCAAATATTGGAATAAATTGCCAAGGGAGGTGGTGGAATCTCCCTCTCTGGAGATATTTAAGAACAGGTTAGATAGACATCTGTCAGGGATGGTGTAGACGGAGCTTGATCCTGCCTTGAGGGCGGGGGGCTGGACTCGATGACCTTTCGAGGTCCCTTCCAGTCCTATGATTCTATGATTCTATGAAGGTAGAGCAGGTGGTTTAGCACGAGTCCTTCGCACGTTCCGTTGAAAGTCAAGTGGCCCCTTCCCACCGCTCCCAGTCGTGAAAGAAGAGGGGGGATTACTGTTGGGTGAGGGCAGGGGACTGGACTCAATGACCTCGCAAGGTCCCTTCCGGTTCTATGAGCTAGGTAACGTGCCATACAGCTAGTAACAATCTTCCCCCCAGCACTACTTTGGGATAGAGGGGGGCCACATGTCTTTCTTCCCTCTGCCCCTTCCCTTTCCATGTTCTGGAAAAAAGTCCCATTCCAGGCACTTCCCATTTTCCTGTCATAACCAAACCCTGACCTTGCTTTTAAGCTACAATAACAGGAAGCTGCATACCAAATTTGGTGGCCCTAATTCTTACCATTTAGGAGGAATTTTTGACAGATAGATTTACATACAGACTGAAGCACGCATCTCTAATAGACAGGCAGATAGTGCTAATGTAAGGTACTGGATGGCTGTGAATATCTCAGGGCAGTAACACCATGACTTGATGCATTTATTTAGTGCAGTGTGTTTTAAACTGTGTTCCGCTGAGAGGCAGTTGGAGGTGTGCCACGGAGAATAACAGAATTCAAAATGGCTGCCCTTAAAGGGGCAGGTGACCTTTTTTTCCTCAATAACTTTCCCCCGACCCTTCTCCCCCCTGCCCCCGACTTTTTTTTTTTTTGGCTCAACAAAAAAATCCTTGGTGTTCCCCATAAAAAAAAATTATTGCCTGGTGTTCCTCGGTCTTAAAAAGTTTAAGAAACACTGATTTAGTGCTTAACACACTGAGGCCTAGTCTTGACTGGTACTTCTCAGCCCTATTGTAATAAGTGAAATTCTAAACATGGCTATTTGAAAAAGGTTCAAGTCATAAAACGATACAAATCCACACAATCCTGCCTATAGGACAGCTAATGAGAATGGGCATAAGCATCTCAGGAGCTTTTAGTGATTTACAATAAGGATTTATTACACAATGTTTATACAGACAAAGTCTGTGATGGAATGTGGACTTGAGCCAAATTGGTAAAAGGACCCTAGGGAACGTACCCACCTAGCATCAAATCCAATATGGAATCTGGGCTATTGTCAAGGGAATATACTCTAGAACTTTTTTCCACAGAGTAGTTGTGAATTGGGGCGGTGTGCCAAATTCATCCTTGCTATGACTTGTAGCTTGTGAAAAAAGGAGTTGATTCCCAAGGCCCTATACCCTGTTACTAGCTCAGTGTAGTCAGTAACCAAAACTATATTTGTCTATGCTGGAGTAAATGTGCAGTTCATGAGTTTTAGCCTGGTAACTTCCATTTGCTTTAGCAGGAGGCAAACAAATAACACTACACCAGCCACTGCTAAAATGGAGGAATGTTGCCCTCCTCCTGCAAAGATAGGCAGGCAGGCAGGCCCTCAGACCTGTATAGACCTCACTGATTTCAGTGCAGTTGCACACATGTAAAGAGATCACCTGTGTGCAATTTCAAACCTCTGTGAATAAAGATAGCCGTACCTCACTGTACACTCCACCTCTTCCCCAGCCTGCTGCCGTGCCACCTAAGCCAAGGTGGATCCAGACTGCTGGCACTGAACATTAAAAAGGTCATAGAGCAGTTTATAAACTACGAGAAGGGGGAAAGCCGTTTGGTGCGGAGGAGCATGTGGATCGGACAGAGATTTCTCTTAGAGGAGAGTCCTTTGATGGAGATTCTCTAGGTTTTAGTCAGAAAGAGAGGACGAGAGATGATAAACTGGGCCAGATCAGACAAGAAACAATCACATATACAAGAATCTAATACATCAGGAAAGGGCAGACAAATAAACAGTGTCAATTTTTTAAAGTGCTTCTACACAAATGCTAGAAGTCGAAATAATAAGATGGGTGAAGTAGAGTACCTTATATTAAAGGAGGAGATTGACATAATAGGCATCACAGAAATCTGGTGGAATGACGACAATCAGTGGGACACAATCATACCGGAATATAAAATATATCAGAAGGACAGAATAGGCCGTTCAGGTGGCGGAGTGACACTATATGTGAAAAATAATGTAGAATCAAATGAAGTAAAAATTTTAAATGAATCAACATGTTCAATAGAATCACTATGGATAGTAATTCCATGCTCCAATAATAAGAGTATAGTAGTAGCGCTATATTATCGACCACCTGACCAGAACTGTGATAGTGACGTTGAAATGCTAAGGGAGATTAGTGACACTATGAAAATAAAAAACTCAATAATAATGGGGGATTTCAATTATCCCCATATTGACTAGGTACATTTCACCTCAGGACGAGATACAGAGATAAAATTCTTGATGACTTAAATGACTGCTTCTTGGAGCAGCTGGTACAGGAACCCACAAGGGGAGAGGCAATTCTTTATTTAGTCCTGAGTGGAGCGCAGGATCGGGTTCAGGAGGTAACTATTACAGGAGCATTTGGGAATAGTGACCATAATATAATAACATTTAACATTCTTGTGGTGGGAAGAACACCTCAGCAGTCCAGAACACTGGCATTTAATTTCAAAAAGGAATTACGCAAAAATGAGGAGGTTAGTTAAACAGAAATTAAAAGGCACAGTGACTAGAGTAAAATCCCTGCAAGCTGCATGGAAACTTTTCAAAGACGCCCAACTTAATAGACGCCCAACTTAAAAGACGCCCATAATAGACGCCCAACTTAAATGTATACCCCAAATAAAAAAACATAGTAAGAGACCTAAAAAAGAGCCACCGTGGCTTAACCACCATGTAAAAGAAGCAGTGAGAGAAAAAAAGGCATCTTTTAAAAAGTGGAAGTCCAATCCTACTGAGGTAAATAGAAAAGAACATAAACATTGTCAAATCAAGTGTAAAAATGTAATAAGAAAAGCCAAAAAAGATTTTGAGCAACAGCTAACCAAAAACTCAAAAAGAAATAGCAAAATGTTTTAAAGTACATTAGAAGCAGGAAGCCTGCTAAAAAAACAGTGCAGCCCCTGGACG